GCCCGACGCCCTGCGGGACATCAGGCCCTGCCTCCTTTTTCCTGCAAGTCACACAGTCACGGAAGGGGCGATGTTCTGTCACCTGGGATCATGCATGAAAATAACAACCGTAGTTTCTTTTTGTGCATTAACACGGGTTCAGTGCTGAATCCAGATCTTGCGTTGGGGCGGGTGTCAGGTCGCTTTCCGCATTGCAGAGAGCTTCCCCAGCCGTGGGGCGGCCCTCACCTGACAGGTGCGCCGCGGCCAGCCTCACCTCGGTCGCAAGCATCAGCCTTTCCATCACAGAGGGCTGAGAAACTAAAAGCAGATTTTTTTTTTCTTTTTTTAAAAAAGATTTATTTTTATTTTTAAAGATTTATTTATTGATACAAGCACTGGGTACAGTCAGAAGCGCGGGAGGGTGAGAGAATCCACCAGAGCCAGAGCGGGGAGCAGAACAGGCAGAAGGACCGAAGGACACTGCTGAGGGGAGCAGCGGGCGGCAGGAGAGGTCTGCGTGCCATGTGGGACCCTTGCCGGTAGCCGGGGATTGAACCAGCGCTGCAGAGGCTGCGGGCAGCTTCACAGCACAGCGCTCAACTGCTGCGCCACCAGGGGAGGCCTGATTTATTTATTTTTATACAAGAACCGGAGTACAGGCCAGATTATTTATTTATACAAGAACTGGGGTACAGGCCAGATGTGCGGGAAGGTGATTCACCAGAGACAGAGTGGGGAGCAGAACAGGCAGATTAACGAAATACACTGCTGAGGGGAGCAGCGGGCATGACCGGAGAGGTCTGCCACGCCATGTGGGACCCTCGCCGCCGGCTGGATTCGAACCGGCGCTGCAGAGGCTGCGGGAGGCTTCACAGCACGGCGCTCAACTGCCTCTGCCACCAGGGAGGCCCAAAAGCAGATTTTTTTAAGAAGGAGAAGGAAAGGGAGAAGGAAAAGGAAGAAGAGCAGGAAGACGGACACGTGGAAGAGGAGAGGAGGCTCCTGGCGGCAGCAGGGAGGGCGACAGGACGGGCTGGAGTCGTGGAAACGGACCGGGACAGACGGAGACGGCCACCAACCGCAGGACGCAGCGAGGGCCAGGGAGTCGTGTTTCAGGCCATTTCTAGAAGACTCTCGACCCGTGAGGCGCAGACAGCAGATGCCACCAAGATCCCAGCAAGCCAGGACAGAGGTCGTCTCCGCCGCAGGTGCTCTCGCTAACCGGCAAGGTGCCTGGAAGGCAGTGCGGGCTCTGCGGGCAGGTGAAGGCCATGAAAATCCTTGCCAAGAGTGTGAACGTCTGTTTTGAGAGTGGGAAACATCAGTTCTGAGCCTACTGCAAACTCCGGGGCGTCACCGCAGTTACGTCACCAAGAATGAATATTTTACCGAAACACTCACCCTCCTGACTCTGCGAGGCCAGACCCAGCACAGGCGGAGCTACCCGACGACCAGTTGTGGAAGGCTACACATGCGTCCTCCGGACAACCTGGCTGCTCAGGAAGGGTGGACGCCTGGCAAGGGTGCCCCCCGTGCCCACACACCCCCCGGAGGCCAGCGGCATCCACTGTGCCCCCTGGCAGGCATCACTGCTTCTTGAGGTTTGATCAAAGTCAGCTGCAAAGTATCAGGCCCGGGCTTAGCTTTTCAGGAGGCTTTTTATTAGATTCAAAGTCCACATTTGCGAAGGTTTGCTCAGTTCCTCCATTTCCTCCTGGGGTAGTCCTGGTGGGTGGTGTTGACCTACCAACTTATCCTTTTCTTCAAGGTTATATGGAATTTATTAACAGAAATCACTGCTATCTGAGGGACTGCGCCTTCACCTGCGATTCTGTGTATCGATGCTTTCCTTTCTGTGAGCCTCGCGCGGTATCTATTTTGTTTATCTTCTCAAAGAGCCAGCTCCGGGCTTCACGGGTGTGTTGCAGTCTTTCTGATCTCTATTTCTGCTCTTTTATTATTTCCTGCCTTCTACTAATTACGGGTCTTATTTGTTCCTCTTTGCCGGGTTGCTCTAGGCATGACCTTGGGTTGTCTATTGGAATTTTCTGCAAGTCACATTCAGGTAACTTGCGTCACTACTTCTCCACTTTCTTAGAAAATGCATGAAGGTGTGAAGATCTCTCCCCTTGGGGAATCTGCCATAGTAATAAAGAATGAATATTGTAAAAATGGCATCCTTAGATTCTATAGTTTCATTAACATAGTGATGAGTAATTGTCAGCCACATTCACTGCCCACGGGTGCTCTATGCGAAGCCCAGTCCCTTTTGAAGCAACAACCACTGTGATAAAGTTGAATGTGATGAATTATTCACAACGTGCTTGGTCTCTAAATACCTGAGGACCTGGTGCAGCTTGTTGAAGGTCAGTTCCTCCAAGTTTCCATAGCGACCCCGGAGCCGGGTACCCCTCGGGGCCATCTTCCTGCACCTCGTCCTGCTGGAGGCTGCAGTGGGCACCGGCTACTGCGCGGAGTCCCCGGACGCGGCTCGCTCTCGCCCTGGAAACTGAAATTGGAAAGGTAAGAATCACCTGAGCTGCGAAACAGCCCAGGCACAAAAGACGGGCTTAGCTCCACACGTGGTGAACGCTGCTGGACAGAGCAGCCTGCAACAAGGGGTTTGGGTATTTAAACGTTCGCAAGGAACGAGGTCGCAAGCGTGTTCAGGTTACTCGGAACAGGGTTCGTGTCAAGACAGAATTTTTTTTAATCCAGTCTGAAAAGCTCCTGTCTGATTACTTAAAATTTTTTGAAGAAAATTATAAATGCCCATACTTTTTAAAATTCTAATAATTAGTCAAACGTTACTAAACGATCGTTTCTGTCAGTGCGCCTGGACACGTACCTAACCCAGCAGTGGTCACCGGCGGGAGGTCCCGAGGCAGGCGTGGCCGCAGCTGCGGTCAGGGGGACGCGCTCCGGGGCCAGCATGCCTGGGCCGGGAGGTCAGACGGTGCTTGCATGGCCTGGAACGTTCTTGCAGGCGTGTTCACTGAGACTCTGCAAAAGTTGGGAGAGCTGCACTCTGCAGGCTTTGGAGCAAATGTTTGCCTGATGCTGCCTAAAATGATGCTTATTATTAAAAATACCAATGGAGCGTCTTTGGGGTGTGGCTCCGGGTTCAAAACCTCAGTTCTGCTTTGTGGAAGCAGAAAAACATTAAGGGGCGCTAACAAGAGCTTAGTGGTTTAGGCCGTTTCTGGCCACCTTTGGAGAGAGGCTTCCATTTTGTTTTCTTTTCGCTTTTTAGCAAATTAATAATAAGGATTTTGTCCCAAAAGTATATAATTCAACTGGATCAATTCAAATTTTTCATTACTGTTCTCATTTTAATTCTTAACTGAGTAATTGAATAATAAAAATTCCTCTGGTGAGGTAATCACTGTTTCATTTTTTATTCATAATCCTTTTAATTTGGCAATATATGATTTTTGTCTCTTCACTTATTTATTAAAATTAAATGAATTTTCAGACATAAAGTGTGCATATATTTGCATAGCTAAATGGGTTCTTAGCAACATATTACCATGGAAATGAAATAACAGTAAATCAGATTGATCGATGACAGCTTTAATGTTTAAAGTCTTAAATAATGTGGAGTTATTTAAATGTAAGCAGCAGCATGTAAATTAGAGACTAAAATAGCAAATTAAACGGTGACGTGACCGCTCTGACATGGGAGAGGGCGCAGGTGCCCGAGGGGCGTCAGGCAAGGGCGGTCAGAGCCGCCCCCGCGGACACCGGCTGCCCCCCACACCCCCCTCGTGGACACCCCGCCCCCCGCGGACACCCCCTCCCCGCGGACACCCCGAGCCCCCGCGGACGCACCCCCCCACCCCGGCCTCCCCACAGCCCGAGCGGCCTCGGGCTCCTGTCAGCGCGGGACGCGCCGGCGGCCCCACGACACGAGCCGCCCGGCCGCCTCCAGCACCCGCGGCCGGCCTCGCCCCGCGCGCAGACACAGTCCCCAGCGCCGGGCCCGAGCCCCGAGCCCGCGGAGGGCGCCCCCACCCCGCGCGCTTCCCGGCGCGCGAGGACCCCGTGCCCGCGGGCTCCCGCCCCACGTCACGCCGTCTCCCAGCTCCAGGGCTCCGACGTCACACCCCCCGCTTCCTGCCCCCCACGGCTCCCCAGGCTGCGCCCCCCCCGCCCGGGAGACCCGCCCCTCGGCCGCGGCTCCGTGTCCCCCCCCCGCCCCGTCCCGCCCCGCCCCGCGGCCCCGCCCGCCCCGCCCTCCGCGCCGCCAGGGGGCGCGCGCCGCTGCTCCGGCCCGCTTCCCCCGCGCGCCTCTCCGTCCTCGCCTCGCCCCGCCCCCGGCGCGTTGACGTCACGGCCCGGCGCGCTGACGCGGAGCGGCGGGGGCGGAAGTGGCGGGGACGCGGAAGCCGGGAGCGCCCGCCCGCGGAGGGCCCGGGCCGAGGGAGGCGACGCCGGGGCCGCGGCGGGAGCGGGAGGCGCGCCGCCCGGCGGCGAGGTGGGGACGCGCGGCTCCGGGGAGCCTGCGGCGCCGGCGGGAAAGGCCGGGCGGGCGGAGCGGGGCGCGGCGGGTGGGGGCCCCTGTGGGGGGTGAAGGGTCGCGGGCGCGTGTCCAGCGCGCGGCGCGCGGGTCGCTGCCCCACGGCCGCGGAAATGTTACATGATCGTATTTGCAGAGACGGGGAGAGTCGCCTCCGCTTCAGCTCGAGCCTCTAAACCTCAGCCGCGGCGGGGCGGGCGGGCGCCCCCGTGAGCACCCCCCCCCGCCTTCCCCTCTGCCCCGCACCCCCGCAGCCCCCGCACCCCCCGCAGCCCCCGCACCCCCCGCACCCCCGCCCCTGCGCCCAGCCCCTGACTCCCCCGCGGCCGGGCTCGCCTGGCACTCGCTTCCCGCGACTCCGAGTCTCGCCTGCGGGACCCCGGTTTCCTCACGACCCCCCAACGCGAGGGGAGGGCGAGGACGTCGCCCCGCCGGTGGCCGGTGCAGAGCGGCCCAGTCAGGGGACCCGGGCGGGGCGGGCTGGGGGTGCAGGCTCTGCTCGGGTCATTTTGGGTCCTGGAGGAACATGGGGGGCAGGTCGTCCCTGAGTGCGACCCGTGGGTGCCCAGCACCCCTGACGGAAAGCGCGTCCCCCGTGTTTGCTCCCGGCTCCTCCCTGCCGCATTGATCACACCCCCCCCCCCGGGGGCTTTCCGGGCTCCCCGCTCTGCTCCATTGATCTGCATGTTTTATTTCTGTAGACTTATAATTTGGGGAACGTATTGTAAACTTTTCTGGGGCCGACACCCCCTCCCCAACCCAGGTCCAGCCGGCAGGCCAAGCCGCATCCCAGTCTCCCGGGGATGCAGGTTCTGACCCAATGGGTCGCATGGCACCTGGGCCCTGCATTTTTTCACAGGGTCTGAGAGGCTGCCCTTGTTGGTCGTGGGCCCGCATCTGAGGGCTGAGGCTCCCTTAGCTGTGGTGCCCGTGATGTGGCCACTCAGAGCCTGGAAGGGGGAGTTTGACATCCGGAAACTGCCTGAGGCAACTGTAGACTCTCCCTTGAATAGAATCCAGGCTTTCCTGAGTCTTTGAGTGACCAGGAGCCACAAGGCTGCCACACTCTGGCTGCACATCTCTGGTTTCCTAAAGCGGATTATTATTAACTAACTCAGTGTAGTGCAAGCAGTGACCTTCTCTGCATCATCAAAGGACCCACCCGAGAAACCCCGCAGCAGGGACAGCTGGGCACTGTCCCTAACAGGGATGGAAAGTTCCTTCATGGGGAATAATCTGAGACATGGAAGGGCCCTTTCCTAAGATCTTGAGATCTTTTCTCTACTGATATCTGGTGATAAGAGGATTCCTCCTATTTCACGGATTGAATAAGACACAATCACTCATTCACCTGGGGTTAGACATTTTGTAGATAATCCACTTTACTTTTTAACATTTATAATGTGTTAAACTGATTTTACTTCCTCTCCCAAATCCTTTTATGCTTGCTTCGGAGAAAAGTTGGACTCTTCAGGGAAGGAGGAAGAAATCAATGTTTATTGAGCACCTGCCAGAGATTACCTGATCCTGTGCAACAAGTTCATCACTTAAGTTATGTGATCTCCATTAATGACGCTATAGAGATATTCCTACTCCGTAGTTGAGAATCCTAAGGTCTAAAAGAGACCAGGAACTTGTGTAAGATCATACAAATAAGAACAAAGGTCAGGCGTTTTTGGACTTCGTATTTTTGTCTGAATCAGAAGTTGTCAAATGAGGCTAAACTGTAAACCCCCTTGGAGGTCAGGGGGAGGGAAGGAGTGTGGGCGACCCTGTGCATCCTCAAAACAGCTCTACGGTGTTGGATGTCCTCTGCACAGGGAACCTCAGGTTAATACAGAAGTCCAATGTATTACAGGCAGATGCTGTCTTTAATATTGGACGTGATTTACTTAATAGTTTTAGAATCGCTCTAGTTCTAATCCCAAATGTGATTGCTACTTGTTAGACTGCAGTCAACAAAAAAAAACCTTTTCTCTGGGCCTCCGCTGGTGGCAGAGCGGTTGAGCACTGGGCTGCAAAGCAGCCTGCAGCCTCTGCAGCGCCAGTTCAATCCCCGGCCGCTGGGCGAGGGTCCCGCATGGCGTGACAGACCTCTTCTGTCTCACCCACTGCTCCCCTCAGCAGTGTACTTCGGTCCTTCTGCCTGCTCTGCTCCCCGCTCTGGCTCTGGTGAATTCTCTCACCCTCCTGCACTTCTGACTGTACCCAGTGCTTGTATAAATAAATAAATAAATAAATAAATAAATAAATAAATAAATAAATAAATAAATAAATAAATAAATAAATCTTTTTTAAAAAATCTTTTCTCTAATTTTTCCCGTACAGCATGCTTAACTTCTATACCTACCAGAAGGGATTCTTGCAGATCTAGAGCAACTGGTAAGAAAGGGATGCCTTAGCAGTGCCTGCAGTATTATTCAGGATAAGACCCCCCCTTTAGTTGTTAATGTTTAGATTTATCTCATCTATACAAATGAGAAGCATGCTAGACACAGTGACCAGTGTCCTCAAGATGTTGGTATTCATGGTGATTTTGTTATTCATGTTTTTTCTGTTGACAGATTTCTCAATGAACTTGTGTTATTTTGTGATTAGATTAAAAGGGGTTATTTATATATGTTCTAAAATTTAGATCCTTGCACATCGCTCTTAGTAATTCTCTTTCCAGTACTGAAGAGCACACATGCTTTGTCTGAAATGATACTGATTATTTTTATCATTACAATGAACCGAATGTAAAGTTGAGTGTAAAGATGTATGTCCTACTTAAAAAAATTCCCTGGAGCTAGAGGCGGCGCTCCCGCCTGCCTATGACTGTGCAGGCGTTTCTTGTCACAAACCTTTTGCGTTCACAGCTCTTTCTGCCCACTGGTGTATGTGCACCGTCCCTTACTTACCTTAGCTTTTAAATTGTCTTTTGGATATAAACAAAATAAAAAAATTCTCTGGAGATAAAACCAGGTCTATTTGATCATGACACATATTTTTAAACATATTGTGACAAGCGTTTCTCTATCCAAGCACCAGCTGTGATCACCTCCTATCTTTATTAGGTTTGCCATAGTGGGCGTAGGGCCAGCCCCAAACAGCAGCCTCAGCAAAATACATTTATTTGCTTTAGTAGGTGTACTTACCCTCCACTAAATAAAAGGTGATACAGGCACACCTTGGAGAGATCGTTGGTTCATTTCCAGAATACCACAACAAACGTAATACTGCGTAAATCAAGTCACTACTTTTTTGTTGGTTTCCTGGTATGAATAAAAATTGCTCACACTAGAGTGTAGTCTATTAAGTGTGCAATCGTGTTTTGTCTAATAACAACATACCCTAATTAGATATGACTGAAACGTGAGGTGAGCATATACTTTTTGGAAAATAGCAGTTTGACTTACTCCAGTCCAGGTTGCCACAAACCTTCACTTTGTGAAAGGCAGTACCTGAGAGGTATGATGAAGCAAAGCAAGCAGGACGGGGTGTGCCTTTATAGACACTTGTGAGAATGATCTTTTGGGTTTTAATAAAGTACACATATCTTGATAAGTGGACTCCAATTTAATGATGATGTCTGTGCATGACTGTTTTTTCAGCAGTTACATCGGCACTGGAGAGTGTGTATTCTTTTCCATGATAGAACATTCTCTTCCATGATATGAACACTCAAAGTAGTGAACAAGGGTTTGCTAAGTGCCCACTGTCTGCCAGGGACTGTGCTATACACACAGCCTCCTTAAAATTAAATGCAGTCTTTTAAAAATGTAAAAACCTTATAGCTACCATTGGTGGAATCTCAGTTGTAAGTAGAAAACACAGAGTTTAGTGTTTATGATGTTACTGAAGAGCTACAGAGCAAGCAGAGTGGGAAACATGACTTGGTTTCTGGTTCAGTTCTTCCCCAGGCTGTACATCCCTGTGTCCGCAGGGAGGAAGCCAGTACTTCCTGCCACCTGCTGATCCTTTCGCTCCCCAAACTGGACATGACATTACGGTCGACACTTGGGATCATGGTACCATTTCTGTGCTTTGTTGCTTTGAACCATCAGTGGTTTTTTAGGTTTATTTTTATTTATTCATGCATTTGTATTTATTTATGCATACAAGAACTCTACCGATTTCGAATTCAAAGTTTGTGTTTTTGTTTAAAGATTTTATTTATTTTTGGGCCTCCCCTGGTGGCGCAGCGGGTTGAGCACAGCGCTGTGAAGCTGTCCACAGCCTCTGTTGCGTCGGTTTGATCCTGGCCTGCCGACGAGAATCCCACATGGCGCTCCTGTTTCGCCCACTGCTCCCCTCAGCGGTGTATTTTGTCAGTCTTCCTGTTTTGTTCCTTGCTCTGTCTCTGGTGAGTCCTCTCACCCTCCCGTGCATCTGGCCTGTACCCCAGTTCTTGCCTGCATGAATAAATAAATCTTTAAAAAAGAAGATATTTTATTTATTTTTGTGTAGAGGAGCTGGGGTGTGGGCCAGAGGTGTGGGGGGATGAGAATATTCACAAGAGACAGAGTGGGGAGCAGAACACACAGATCTACTGAAATACACTGCTCAAGGGAGCAGCGGGCAAGACAGGGGATGTCTTCTCTGCCCTATATGGGTTATCTCCCTGGCTGGGGATTGAACTCAGGCCATCTGGTGGGCCATTGTGGTGACAGTACTGAGACTTAACCCCTAGGCTAGCAGGGAGGCCCTCAAAGTTTGCTTTAATGTTGAATAAGCATAATTATTGGTTGAGCTCATTTAATGTTATGAAATACTAATACAAATGTGTAAGTTATTTTTGAAGTTTCACTAAAAATATTTTCATTATGAATGTGATTGTGAGCATTGTCTGAGAGGCTTGTAGATGTTCTGAGACCTGTGGAATTGGTCATATTCTTTACATGCAGACTTTACAACTTGAGGCAGATTGAAAAATTGGCATCTTTGGTATAATGGAAGATCTGGTGATCATTGTATTTTAGATTAAATAATTTAGAATATTATAATACTTAATATTCAGAATAATCTGGAACAATTGAGCTGAGTCTGTGTGAGCTGAGTCTGTGTGGGTTACTATGGTATTATTTTCTCTCTGAGTCTAGGATAATGTAGGTGCTATTGCTTGAACAGCCTCAGTGGCCACTTTGTTCTGGTGGGTTTAGGGTGAACCTCTTCTGCTGTTTGTTCCCAGTATTTGGTGTTTAGCTTTCATGGTTACCACATTGTGGAAAATAAGCTAAGGACATACATGCACCAACACTAAAGCTAGCCTTTCACTTGGGTCTGCAGTTAATGGATTTTATAGAACAACTTGCAGTATGCTTGTTCATCATTAATGTACACAGAAAGACTGACATTTGCAGTGACAGGTGCCTGTTTTCCTTAAGCACTGGAAAAGACAACAAGAACCTTAACAATTCAAAGATCATAATTTTTATGTAAAAAATTTGTATATGAGCTAAGCAGGCTGAGGTCTGAGCATCCCTAACATACAAATGCTATGTCCATGTTTCGGGAAGATATACTTTTCTGGTGGCAGTGTAGCTGGGTGTTTCTGCTAAATAAGTAAGTCTTATGTGGCCCTGTGTGAACCATGGTTATTATATATGGAGGGGCCTCCCTGGGGCACAGCCGGTAGAACGCTGTGCTGTGAAGCTGTCCGCAGGCTCTGCAGAATGAGTTCGATCCCCAGCCAGCCAGGGAGAAACCCACATGGCGTGGCAGACCTCTCCTGCCTCACCCGCTGCTCCTCTCAGCAGTGTCTTCGATCGGTCTGCCTGTTCTGCTCCCCACACTCTATGGTGAATTCTCTCACCCTCCCGTGCCTCTGACCTGTACCCCAGTTCTTGTATAAATAAATAAATCTTTAAAAAAAATAAAATAAAAAATAAAGAATATGGAGAAGGTGACTGTAGGGTAAAGAAAATGTCAGGCTTTTCTGCCCTTCCGCCATCAGGATAGATGATGGATCCTTGTCCTGAATGCATGCCTGATGGCGGGCACCTGGAGTAGGGTGTGGGCATAGGTAGATGGGATTCAGCTGAGCTAAGACTGTGCTTTTAAGGGCGGCGTCACGGGGGGACGCCAGCAGCCCCAGCCAGCAGCAGCAGAACCTGAAGGAGAAGCCGAAGCAGAAGCAGAGAAGGCCAGAGAGCCCAGATAGAGTGAAGACTTGCTGGGGGCTGGGAGGCCTGCCAGCCTCCCAGCCCCCCAGCCAGCACCCCTGCCTGCCATATGCCTGGTGAACCCCAAATAAAAAACCTGCAAAACTACTGAGGACTCTGACTCCTCCTTTACCCGGTCTGCATGGGATCAGAAAACCTGCCCTGTGCCCATGTCCTGCCTTTACAGTGACTTCATTAAGTTGCAGGGAGATAAGGGTTAGATGGAGTGCTCAGCGCGTATGTTTCACTTACATGTCTTGAAATGAACCCTTGCAGGTGTGTGTACCTGATTAGGGGTGAAGGTTTTGGCTACAACCCAGGCTGCAAAAACTGCTACAGCCTGTGTGCTCATGAACGAAAGAGCCTTGAGAAGCTGGTGTCTTGTCCTATATGCCTTTCTTTGTAGAACTCAGGACCCCAAAGGAAACTCAGGTGTGTGTCTGAGATGGTACTTGGTGAGCAGCAGACCAGGTCAGCATGCCAAGGAGCAGCCCTCAGCCATGTCTGCTTGCTCCTTGGAATCACAAAGCTGTTAGGCATGAGGCAGCTTTTGAGCTGTGGCTGCCTAGTCCTTTTCCTATCAGAATAGCAGCTGATAATCATATTACTTACTCTCTCAATGAAATCCTTCTGAGGTGTACCTGCCCACCGTGCAGAAGCTCTTTACTATGTTAGGAAGGTGTGTACCTTGATTCTCCCATCTACTCCACAGGTGGGCACTGCGGACGTCTCTCCCCTGAGGTGGCCCCTTTCACGACACTTCCTAGTCCTCCCAGTTGCTCTTCCTGCTGTTTGCTCAGGCTGTCTCCAGAGCGTGCTGAACACACACAAGTGTTTTTTTTTTTTTTCTTCATTAGGCCCAGGTGTCTTCTCCTTCCTCCCTTGCTTGGGGTGCTACAAGGATACAGAAGCACCTTCCTCCAATCCTGCACACTCTATCATCAAGACATTCTCAGTGGTGCAGTAGCGACTGGGATGGGGTGAAAAGTGATTCTTGGAGACTGAGAAAAGGTTTTATGCGTGTGTGTGTGTGAACTATGGATACATATAGTGCATCAACAGATAAATAATTTTTACCTGCGGTGTTACAATTTCATGATTGGGGAAAAACATCTGCTTTTTTTTTTTTACCCTTTTACTTTACTTCCTAAACTTTGAGATAGTTTAATGTTTTCATTGCTAGTCCTAGTGAGCTAATGTTCCTTTTTGAGAGTCTAAAGTATGTATTTCTTACACATAATCTTTTTGTGTACTTGGTTCTAGTGCGAGGGAAGCATCAACAGCTTGCAGCTGACAGGGGCGTGAGCTGGTGGCCGGCGAGGTGACGCAGGTGCTGCCATTCGTTCTGAGAAGAGAGTAGCTGCTCCTCCCTTCTGCAGAAAACTGCGTTTGGACTGTTTGCACGGCCTGTGATAGTGACTGCACTTTGGGGAAACGACCTGAGGAAACGCTGGAAATACGGATAAAAATTTTAAGTATGAACTGAGGCCCAACACCTGCTTCACAGAGAGGACTGTCTGGAAGCGCCTGCTGAGAGCCCGCGGGGGGGGGGGGCGGCTAGTCCCCGTGTGTCCGTGTGACGAAGCGCGGCGGTTCGAGGGGGCGTGACTGGGGGCCGAGGAACGCGGAGGGTCCCGGGGCGACAAGGGCGGAGAAGCGGCGGGGCCGGCCTGGGGTGGGCGGGGCGGGGCGCGGGGATAACGGGGGGGGGGCGGCGCCCGGGGGGCGTGGGGGTGGAGCAGGCGCGCGTCTAACCCCAAGGAGACACGTCCCGCTTTTCAGGGGCGCCCGAAGCTCTGGTGACATTATTTTTGGAGAACACACGGCTATTCGCCCCGGGTCACTGAACCCTGAAAGGCCGGCCCGGCGGGCGTGGCCACCGAGCGTCCAGGTGTGTCCGGGCCGCCCCCCGCCCGCCCCCTGCCCGCCCGCCTGACGCCCCCCCTGCCCGCCCCCTGCCCGCCCGCCTGACGCCCCCCTGCCCGCCCGCCTGACGCCCCCCTGCCCGCCCCCTGCCCCCCCGCCCGCCGCCTGACGCCCCCCTGCCCGCCCGCCTGACGCCCCCCTGCCCGCCCGCCTGACGCCCCCCTGCCCGCCCGCCTGACGCCCCCCCCTGCCCGCCCCCCGCCCGCCCGCCTGACGCCCCCCTGCCCGCCCGCCCCCCTTCCCCCCTGCCCGCCCGCCTGACGCCCCCCCGCCCGCCCGCCTGACGCCCCCCGCCCGCCCCCCTCCCCCCCTGCCCGCCCCCTGCCCGCGGCTCCCCGGCCGCCCCCTCCGGCGTTCCTGGCGTCCTGGGCCGCGAGGAGGTCGGCGCTGCGGGGCGCGCCCCTCAGGACCCCGCGGGCCCCGCGCGTCGCGGGAGGACGAGGTGAGCCGGGGGAGGGCGGGCGGGAGGGCGAGCGCGTCTCCCTGGGCGGCTGAAGGAGGGTCCGGTCAGAAGAGGGGGGGGCTGGTGAGGAGAACTGGGGGGGTCTTTGGGGTTCAGTTTTGAGCACGGAGTCACCTAGGGGGTCAGTTTCATGCCTGAGGGGACCCCCTGACGGCCGTGGGTCCCCGAGTTTGCTCCGGCTCCTCGTGGCTCGAGGACGCGCCTGGGGGCTCTGGGCGCTGCTCTGCCCGGGCCGCGCGGCTGCTACTGTGGGTGATGGTGTCCTTGGGGCAGACTGAGGTTTTCTGGGGTGACCCCCTCCCCGCCCCGGGCCTAGCAGGCGGAGGGAAGCCCCGGCCCGACCCCCAGTCTGAGCAGCCCGACCCGCCGCCCCGGCCTCGCCCGCAGGGAGGCGTCTCCTCGACCCGGGCCCCGGAGGCCCCCGAGGAGGCTTAACCCGCGGCCTGGGGCCCTCGGGGCTTCTCGGAGGCGGAGGCTGCACCCGTCAGCGCCTCAGGGAGGGGCTCGGGCGGGGGGGGGGGGGGGGGGGGGGGGCAGGCGCCCTGGGGGGACAGCGCGGCTTCGTGCGGAGACGCCCCCTGAGGCGAACGCCCGGCCCGGCCACTCACCGCGGTGCCCCCTGCCCCCAGGCCCGGACGCCTCCCGGGTCACCAGCAGGCGCCGCTTTTACTGGTGGTTGATTTTACTGACCTGTGCTGTGGGGCTGCGGGGGTGTGTCTCCGTCGTCCGTCTGGCTCTGCCGCGCACCATTGCCTCGCGCGTCCGTTTTGCCATAAACGGCGACTTTCCGTCCCCGAGGCCGCCGCGTGCTCTGCAGCGAGCATCGGCCTCGTCTGCTCGGCCAGGGCGCACGCGTTAATTTTTTTTGTATGGAACCGGGGTACAGGCCAGAGGTGGGGGGTGAGAGGACTCCCCAGAGACAGAGCGGGGGGCAGAACCGGTGGGTCCATGAAACCCGCTGCTGAGGGGAAGGGGCTGAGGCGAGGTCTGCTGTGCCGGCGCGTCAGCTCCCTGGCCGGGGCCGCACTCCAGCCTTAGCCGTGACAGCCGAGACCTCCCTAACCCCTTAGTCGTGACAGCCGAGACCTCCCTAACCCCTTAGTCGTGACAGCCGAGACCTCCCTAACCCCTTAGCCATGACAGCCGAGACCTCCCTAACCCCTTAGTCGTGACAGCCGAGACCTCCCTAACCCCTTAGTCGTGACAGCCGAGACCTCCCTAACCCCTTAGTCATGACAGCGCCGAGGCCGGTTGTTACCATTTTTTGGTGATAATTTGGATAAACATGTGGAGGCGGTTGCCTGACATTCCCTTTCTCATGTTGATGTGTGTTGTGAATGTGTCAGGACTATGTTTATTCTGTTCATTGTTATAAAATATATTTACCGCTGAATATTTTTAAGCCAGGCATTTTATGGCATTAACCACATTCACATCATGTCTAGAACATTCCATTCCCCCAGTTAAACGCTGCTCCCCATTCCTCTTCACCCTCATCCTCTGGCACCCACATTCTACTGCTGTCTCTGAAATTTGTCTGCTCTGGACCCCTGGCAGAAATGGACTTATAGGCTCTTAGTCCATTTGCGTCTTCCTTAACGTAATGACTTTAAGGTTCCTACAGTTGTAGCTTGTATCAGAATTTTCTTCGTTTTTAAGGCTGAATAATAGTCCATCACATAGATGCCACATTTTGTTTTTTCGTTTATTCTTCCATCAACATGCAAGTTCTTTCTAGACTTTGACAGGCTGTGAGTAATGCTTACATGATTGTGGGCATACAGATGTCAGTTTCAGCCGCTGCTTTGAATTCTTCAGTTTTCCCTGAAGTGGAATTGCTCTGTCATCCATTCATTTTATGCTTCATTTTCAAAGGAACGGCCAGAATGTTTTCCCATGGCAGCTGTGCTATTTTATATTGTTCCTCAAATGACAGAATCATACTGAAGTTTATAGAGCCTTTCTTTATTCACCATTCGATGGACATCAACAGTATTTTCCCACTTGACAATACTAAACCCTTCCACAGATGCCATCATGTACAAGTGTCACGGAATTCCAATCATATGTGGGTCGTGGACACCATGGCATCCCTTGAAAAACTTAGCACACAACTAAGCTTATAGAAAATGGTGATTTTTACAATACAGCAACAAAAAAAGTGAGAATTTTAAAAAAACACTTATGCACACAAGAACTGGCGTGTAAGCCAAAGGTGCAAGGGTGGGGTGAGAGGATTAACCAGAGAGAGTGGGGAATAGAACAGGCAAACTGACTGAAACACACTGCTGAGGGGAGCAGCGGGCGAGACAGGAGAGGTCTGCTGCGCGGTGTGGGTCAGCTCCCTGGCCGGGGATCGAGCTCATGCTGCAGTGGCTCGTGATAGCCTGACAGCACTGTCTTTAACCCCTTGCGCCACCAGGAAGGCCGCTCATTTGTGCTCTTTGGGTAGATCCAGAGGAGTGGAATTGCTAGGTCATGTGGAAGATACATTTTCAGTCTTCTGAAGAATCTCCACACCTCTTTCCATAGTGGCTGGACTAGTTCACACTCCCACCAACAGTGTAAGAGGGTCCTTTTCTCCACATCCTCACCAGCACTTGCTGTTTGTGTGTGTGTGTGGTTTTTTTTTAACTGTGGGCCATTCTCACAGGTGTGAGGTGGTTTCTCGTGGTGATTGTGTTTTGCATTTCCCTGATGATAAATGATGAGACATTTTTCATGTGCCTGTTGGCCAACTGCGTATCTTCTTTAGGGAAGTGACTATTTAGCTCCTCGCCCCATTTTTGATTGGGTTGTTTTCATTTTGTTTAGTTGTGTAAGTACTTTGTAGATCTTTGATATTCCTTATCAGATGTAGAGTATGCGAGGATTTTCCCCATTCAGAAGGGTGTCTCTTTTTGTTTTGGTCACTGTCTTTTTTGCCATAGAGAAAACTTTTATTTTCTCCTTTATATGTTTCTGAGATTTATGTTAGGGAGGGTTTTGCATAGGTTTTCCTCTCTATATTTTATGATTTCAGGTCTTCTATCCAAGTCTTTTATCCATTTTGAGTTGATTTTCATGTGTGGTGTGAGATCATGGTCTAGTTTCATTATTTTACATGTGGCAGTCCAATTTTCCAGCACCCTTTATTGAAATGGCTTTCCTTGTTCCAGTGTCTGTACTTTGTTCCTTTCTTGTATATTAACTGTCCGTAAACATGTGGTTTTATTTCCGGGCTCTCAATTCTATTCCATTGGTCTGTGTGTCTGTTTTGTTCCATTACCATGCTGCTTTAACTATGATGGCTTCATAGTATAGTTTGAAGTCAGAAGTATGATACCTTCATTTACCCCCTTTTATATCAGGGGTCTTTTGTGTTTCCATATGAACTTCCATAATCTTTGTTCTATTTCTTTGAGGAATGCCATTGGGATTGTTATTGGAATTGCATTAAATCTATAAATTGGTTTGGGTTGGGTGGCCATTTTGACAATTTTGACTCTTCCAACCTATGAGCTGGGTATATCTTTCCATTTCTTTGTGTTTTCTATTTCTTTTAACAACGTTTTATAGTTTTCCTGGTAAAGGTCTTTCACCTCTTTTGTTAGCTTTATTCCCAGGTAATTAATTTTGTGTGTGTGAAATTGTAAGTGGGACAGTTTTTTTAATTTCTTCTTCTAGTTCATTATTTGTACATAGGAAGGCATATGTTAACTATTTTTAAGTGCAGAGTTTGGTGGCATTACGTACACTCACACCGTCATGTCACTCTCATTTCTGAAACCAGGGAGTCCCCAAAGGCTTAAATACACGCCCAAAATAGTCCTGCATTCTTTCTGCTTATTGCTTAAATGTTAACCAATTCTAAATACTTTCGGTCTTCTAGCCTGGCTACATTATCAAGACGAACATGTTTTTCCCAAGCAGTTCTGCTTCTCCACATAAAAATTACCTCGCAGCCCAAGGCAGGTCCTTTGTCTGAAAGGTATCCAGCCGTCAGAAGGACCTGACTTAAGGATGTCTCCCTTTAGGATTTCATCTGGGAACAGATATGTGACAAAAGATAATAGGACAAGTCCAACCACAAGTGTATTTTAAGCATCTGTTATTTTGGTTAACACCCCATTGTCCAAAGTGAATTATATGGCCTATGGCTAAGTCCAAAGTCATGGAGCAGAGAAGCTCACTTCAGCTGCATCAATGCTATGGTAAGAGTAATCTATTGCTCGGGGATGTAAAATTAGGTAGAATCGTTAAATCAAATCATCATATACTTGGAAGGCATTTTTACCCTTTCGAGGTAGTTTGGAAAGTACAAGAAACCATGTTTATTACCATTTTTTTTAAAGATTTATTTATTTATTATTTATACAAGCACTGGGTACAGTCAGAAGCGTGGGAGGGTGAGAGAATTCACCAGAACCAGAGCGGGGAGCAGAACAGGCAGAAGGACCGAAGGACACTGCTGAGGGGAGCAGCGGGCGGCAGGAGAGGTCTGCGCGCCGTGCGGGACCCTCCTCCGGTGGCCGGGGAGCAGCCGGGGATAGAACCAGCAGGGGAGCAGCCGGGGATCGAACCGGCGCTGCAGAGGCTGCGGGCAGCTTCACAACCCAGCGCTCAACCGCTGTGCCCCTGGGGAGGCCCATCCATTTTTTATTAATATGACTTTTTATGATTCTTTAAACATCTTAACTTTACTTATAATCAACTTTGTGCCTTCACCTAAGTAATAGGTTTCTTCTATAAAACCATTTTTATGCATTGTCTTTTGCAGTCTAGCAAATCATCCCAAAGTGAATGGCTTGAAAACACAGTTTGATATTTGGCTACAATTTAGGCTGTGCACAGCTGGGATAGCTTGCTTATATAAGGACCTCCACTGAGGGATCCGTGGTGTCTACTTTACACCTGGAGCTGGATCTTTGATCAGAGACATCTAGAACATTTTAATCTTGTCTAATTACTTTACTAAAATTCTTCTTCACTTTTATTCAAAACAAAATATGTAAATTTATTTAACAAGTATGTACTACCAGTAAGGCATATATTAAATGGCAGTAAAATTTCCTTCAACTTAACATGTGATAAAGAACAAACTGTAAATAGTCTCCTGCTCACCCCTAGGAGGCCACTGTTTTAAATTAGTAGATAGTTTTTCTAATGATCAAATTCTCATCTAATTCTCACTTTGGTTAGGTTAACAGTGAATCTGAAAATATATGAGTTATCACAATAGTTTTTTTCTAATTTACATAATAGTACTAGTGATTAACAGATGGTCTATACAGTATTTCCAATACCCAGGAATATCTTATAGCTCTGTCCTCCTCATTGTCTTATGGGTACTCTCCATGTGGATGAATTAAAGGAGCGGGGAGATCCTGGAGGGATGACACAGACCAGGAAGTAGCACATACCTCCTGTCCCCATATCCAAAGGACAGCGCCACACACAGAATGGGCCCACACACCAACTACTGGGCATGGTACCAGGGACGGGATCCACCTAGATGCCCCATTTCCAAGACCCACCCCTATGCCCAGGGCTTGAAGCTAAATTGGAAAATAAGTGGCAAATTACCCTCTATTAGTTTTCTGGTTATCAGTGATGAATAAAGCTACTGTGTTGCCCTTAAGTTGGGACTGTCTGATCAAATCATCAAGTAGAAATTTTTTGAGATGAGGCAGGATGTGAAAACACCATGAATTGGGACTATGTCACATTAAAAAGCTTTTTACACAGCAAGAGAAAATATCAACACATGCAAAATGAAGACAGCCTACTGCATGGGAGAGGCA